GCCCGTATACCGCTGCCCCTCCCGCGTGTTTTGCCAGTCGGGGCCTCCCAGGAGGCCCTCGTTGCCACCGCTGGAGAGATAGCCTCGAGATGTTTGGTCAGAGCGCACCCCAGAACAGGTCCGGGGAGTAGCGGTACGGTTGAGGTTGGAACTTAAGCAGCATTCCCCCCCCCCTCCCCCGCAATTCAAAGTTGGCACGTTCCTTGAAGACCACTTGGAGGCTCCAAATCGAAAGATCCGAAGCCAACATTGCATTTGGGGGAGTGGTGGAGTTCAAACCATTGGTTCTGCATGAGTGTTCCATGGACGAGAGGATGGTGAGGGGCGATGGGGGACGGCGAGGGGCCATGGGCGCAACACACAGTGTGTTCCAGCCGACCCGTGCGTGCACCTTCCAGTGATCACAGCGTCCCGTCCAGTTCGCATGCCGCGTGCAAGGGCGCTAGCACGACACACACGTGGGGGCAGCTCTCGTGCAACACCACAGGGCGTGCTTCCTCTCGGAGCACCTGGGCGTGGCCCATCTTTGCTCTACACCTGGAGAGCTACAGCTTGACCGTGTCATGAAGCCCCCCCTTTCTCCGAGTCGTCGAGTTGGGGGCGCATCTCAAAGCCCTCCCTGGTCGTTGTACGGCCCTAGCAAGTGCCTCATGCAGTCGATGCGGGGCAAAGGGAAGCGGCACATAGGATAGCGAACACAGCTTGTCCAAAGCAGGCTGCCACGCCCCCACGGCGCGTCGACTGACCATGCTGCTTAGATAGCATGTGTCACCGCTCGTGTGGCAAGAAGCCCGTGATCTTTTCCACGTGCCGATCTGTTCGTCAGTGTCGTGGAATGGCCGTCTCGAAATTCGTGTTCATGGTATCACTGCTGGTGATAGTTGCGTCGCGTTCTGAGAGTCAGAGACTTCATCACAGGGAGAGTAGAAACTAAGTGGACAGCCTCAGGTCGGTCGAGGCCGATGTGTCAACGCGACAAGGCCGAATTGTTTGTTATGCTTGCTTCCCCGCGGGTCGGTTAAATACGGAAGTCTCACGATTCAAACCTTCCGCTTAGCGGTCTTGCTTGTCTGACGTGCATGTGGGCACCACTTCAGGTTCCCGCTTGTTGGCTCTTGCACTGTAGTTCGTTGTATGTTTGCGCAGTTGCAGCTCGACACGAGTTTTCATCCAGGCGGCGTGGTAGCCCCAATACCGTGGGCCGTCGGGAGTCGTGTTCCCGAGAGCGGGGTCGGCCAAGCGGTGCAGGGCTTTATTGGAACGCGTGAGGAGTAGGAGGAGGACGGCAAGGATTCACATCACTTCTGCAAGTCGGTCATGCTCGCTGCTGACGCGCTCCCGTCGTTTTCTGCGGCGGGTCTTGCTCCAGCATCCTCCTGGCCCTCCGCTGGCTCTCGGGCCGAGCACTTGCTGCCACATTTTCCTCGGGCCCCTCCCAGTTCCGCGAGGGCACGGTCCGCCTTCTCCGACGAGGAGTAGGAGCAGGAGGAGGAGGAGGAGGAGGGGGAGGAGGAGGAGGAGGATGAGGAGGAGGGAAGAGGAGGAGGGAGAGGAGGAGGGAGGAGGAGGAGGATGAGGAGGAGGAGGAGGAGGAGGAGGAGGAGGGTCCTCGCGGCCATTACAAAGAAGGAGCCCCCTGCGGATTCCGAAGGCGCTCGCGCCCTCACCGCCCACCCCACGCCAGGCGAAGCGGACCGCGCAGGCAGAGCCTGGCACGCTCTCCTCCATGCTCGTCGTGCTACGCCCCCTCCCGTTTAGGGTGCAGCTCCTGGGAGGTCAAAGCCAGCATCAGCGTTGGTAGATCCGCGGTCGCAAATCGTCCTCACCTGGCCTAGTCCCGTTCAGTTCCGCTCAATCCGGCCGCATCATGCTTCATCGCGTCCATGTTGGACTCCTCCTCCGGTTCCCGTGTGGACCTCACGACGAGGCCTGTGTGCGGCCCCGAACTCGCAGGGGCGGCGGCGTTTGCCCAGGAGTGCATTGGAAGCTCGTGCGGATTGCCACGCATGCCGCAATCTTATCCTGCTCCCCTCCTCGCTCCCATCATTTTCTCTCTCTCTCTCTCTCTCTCTCCTATGCTCTCCCCCCCGACTCCTCCTCACAGTCTGCGTCCTCCCAGGGGAGCAGGTGAGCCCAGCCATGCGAGTGGGCACAGGGAGGACCCCGACATCCGACACTGCAAAAAACGCGACGTCGCGACAAGCCGCGACCGACGCCCTAGACCCCATCTTTCGAAGAAGAAAAAACGCCGTAAACATACACTTCTGGCGTTCCGCGCGGATTTCTTGGATTCGCGCTGGGCCCCCCCGGTGGCGCCTGCGGCGCCGCCCCTGGCGCGCTCCGCGCGCCAGGGAGGGGCTCCAGCGCGGATCCAAGAAACCCGCGCGGACCGCCTAAAATGTTTATGCCGCTTCGTGTTACCTTCAGGAGAGGAAGAAGCACACAGACACCACCAATCGTCGATCCTCAGGGAAATACGGGAGAATATGGGAGGGGGGGG